GAGTAGAATAACGAGTAACAAAGCAGCTGCAATAATAAGCTTATTCATTTTCTCTTGGCTCTCTTTGCGATGTAATGCTGCAGTTCTATCTCTGTTAAATATTTCATTCTTTCTTGGATGATAGATTTTGATGCCATAGGCTACTAATTGTCAAAGCTACCAGTCAAATGTACACATTCAAATAGGACAAAAGTTCATTCATAGCAACAACTTATCTCGTCTGACCTCAATAGCTTATCGTTTGAGTCTTTCTACTTTCGGAAAAAATCGAATATGACCAATGGTCAATACTCGAAGTAACTCATTTGAAGAATGTCATCCAGCATAGGACATCAAGGCATCCATATTCTAATCTCTCTTCTTAGCCTACTATTTGCTTTACCATATAATCGGCAATATTCCTCATTCCTCATTTTAGCGCTATTTACATCAGTTATTTCTCATTATTCCCTAGAAGAAAAATAAATTAAATTATTAAATAATTTGACAAGGTAATTATAGATGCAAACTCAGAGGAAATAAAATATAAAAGAACGAGTGACAAGAACATCTTACTAAATATTTCCCTTAGATGAATTGCTTTTTTCATTTAAAAATAAAAGTTTAAAAATTAAGATTAAATTTTTAAAATTTATGCGATAATGATAATGAAAGGTAAACGAATGTAATGACTAGTTTTCTCACTTCAGATATCAATAAAATCAAAGATTTACAAGCTTTTTATTCGTTGCATTTAAGTACATCTTAGCAGTTCAGTTGATTGATATATTGGAAATATATCATTAATCAGCACTACATATTTTAGTATTCCCCGTAATTACAACAGAGTCTTACTTTTCTAGCTATTATACATCATACATCTTTATGCTAAAAGAAAAGTTGCAGTTTAGCGTTCCAAAGATTGAAAAACTTATTTAACATCTATAAGTTTCACTCAGTGATATGATATATTCTTAGTAATACTTTCTATGCGAATAAAGAGAAACCTTTTTAATGTTTGCTTTGTAATGATTATTAAATATAAAAAAAGTGAAACTGGAAACCTCAAATCATGTCAAATCATTCGTCAAGTAGCAAATAATTCTATGAAAACATTCAAATTAGCTTAAAGATATGGTTTTGTTATCCAATATTTTATGTTAAACAGCTCATCAACACTCACAATGTTTTGTCTTTTATTAAATCACAGAACTGATAAGTTATTTATAGTGGTGAGCAATTTACCAGTTATGCTTACATTATCAGTTGTTTCTAATCAGTTAATGATTGCAGATGCACATATCATGTGCAATGCATGACAAGTTTAACTCGAAATGATACATTTATACACAGTCGATCTATGTAGAACACAGTCGGGTTGTATTGCTCATCAGATAACAGAAAAACATTTGCTTATGATTAACCTGCAAGGCGAATAATGGTAATATCCAAAATGAAATTAATTTTGCTAGTCAGTTACCAATAATTTTCAATTAATCGGTAGCTTGTCAATATTTTCGGTTTTGTTAAAATGTACACACTTTCATCATCAAATTCAATAATAACAATGATGAATTAAATGTTAAGTGATTTAAATTCCTTGATAAGGACATGCTTATTTCACCAATAAGCATATACCATCGATCACTTATGCTACTAATATATTTCATCAACATTGGTTTTGCTTACAAAAAGATATTAGTATCTGCTTTTCTGATTTCAGTAATTTATCACCTTTTAATATATTTTGATATAAGTTTTTTTTTTTTTTTTTTTTTTTTTTTTTGCTTGATAATGCAATGATAGCAGATTAATTATATCAAAAAAAGAAAAAAAAAAATGAGAATGCTAACACTTATGAAATTATTGTTAGTAAAATGGCAACTTTTTTTTTCGACGGCTCACTAAATCATCTGAATCAGATGAATGCCTCACTGTTCGGAGAATCTAAAAGTGAACTGTAAGTTTCAACTTTATTAGTCATGATAAAGTGAGACGTATTTTGAATTTTAACTATGCAAATGTTGTTAGCAAAATCGTAAATCATTTAATACCAACAAATGTTAGTGCAAATAACATACTAGTAAAAGCAGGTACAGTAAACCTTCAACTTTATGGAAAACTGTATTTTGTACCGGCAACATTTGCAGCGAATATAACAACTACACTAGCAAAATGTAAATTCCACTTCCATCAACTGCTATCAATGATGAAACTATCAATGAAAAAAATAATTAAATGTGTACAGTATACGTTACTATACACATTTAATTATCGCATTTCTACTTGAAAACATTCACTTATAAGAGATTTCTATATCATTAACAATTGTATTTATAACAAAATAAACAGAAATATTAGGAAGAATTGCAAAATGTCGCACCAATTATAGCATCTTCCTTTCAAACTGTTGTTTTCGGTTTCACGATGTCACCAAGTGATTTTCTTTGCTTCTGTGAAGATAGCAAGAATAGTTTTAATAATGCAATTTTACTAACAATTCGAAGTTTTTGAGACAATGTGAAGGGAAATATATTTTAAGTTTTGTTGATGTTAGATGCCAGCAAAAATGGCGATTATAAATCAAATCAGATCTTTTATCACATTCAATGAGAATTTATTTTGTTGCAAGGATGTTCTGACGTGCAGGTGACGATGAGTTCGCTTTCTCTTTTTTAAATTTTTTTTGAAATCCCTATTCTAGATTTCTCTTCATTAATTGTCAAGATAAGACAGGAAAAAATTTAAGTAGTCATCCATTCGTTATCGGAAAAACATTATCCGTTCTTAGTTTTCCATTAAAGATTGATCTGAAAAGCGATTATGTTCAGCATGTTGTAGCTGAGAATAAAAGCCAACAACGTTATCATTTTGATTGCTTGCATTTAATCATGGCCATAGAAGTAATGAAAAAAATAAAGAGAAAGGAAACCAAAATTTCATCATGAAGAGATCTTAAAATTTGAAATAGATTAAAAGTTTCATTTCTGTAACTTTTTTGTAAAAGCTACCGTATTAAGTGACAAATATGTTTACCTTGATAAATGACTACAAACAGTCACAAATTGACTTTATTGAACTTTCTTTTATTAAGTATCTCATTTCCTATGATCTCTTGTTTCTTCAAGAAAAAGAAAGGAAACATAACATTATTTGACAGCTTTTTAAAATATATAATAAACCTAGCAACATAATGATACCATTCATCACTAATTAATGTCATATATTGACATTATGTGGATGATGTTTTATATCAAATGATGAAATTTGCATGTACTGTAACACATCGTTATGTGAAGAAAAAAGGAAAAATAGTCAGTTGATAAAAAAAATTGTCGAATAAAGTGTGACGACTTCTGTAAATGTAAAGGAAGCATTAATAGACAATAACATTTCGTTGAATTGTTATTTCAAATTCTTTTTCTTGAAACAACCCAGATTCAAAAAGAACATTCATTCTCTGAAGTAATTTATGTGATTTCCGTTACTTTTAATCTTACTTTATTTCTGGAATGTCATATTTGAAGAATTTTTTCAATGTTGTGAAGTTTATTGAATTATCAAATGATTTATGAAATAGCGATCCATCAATACTGTTAATGGTCCATCATTAAGATTGGAATTACAAAAATTGTATCAATGGTTTGAACTTCAACCTCACAATAAACATTGTTATTTTAAGAAGAATTGATATCGAGGAAGCATTAGAAAGAAATAAAGCAAGTATTACACTAGAACATTATACAAGGGTGGTTCATCCAAGTATTCACTAAACTTCTAACTTATTATGACTGATTATCATCAGTTATCCAAATAAGCAAATCATCAAATGTTTCAATCATAAAATTATGGGAGCTCAAGAAGTAACTATTTGTTTATTATTATATTATTAATTATTTGTGAATATCCAATGATTTCTATATAAAAACAGAAAGAAAAAAATGATTAGTATCTAAAAAATTGGTACCTTTAATGTAAGAAATATTGTAAGCTTCTGTTGAACTAACTATGCGCTATATTTGCTGAAAATTAGCTCATTGTAAAAAATATATATTGCATTTCACAGTGTAACGTACAGTTTGCTAAGTGAAAATTTTTAATGTGAGCATTTTATGCATTTATAAATTCATTTGAATGATCAAAACAATATCACTCGTTTTCTTCCTCTTTCTGCTCGGTTGCTTAGCTTCTCAGCTCTTTTTTTCACTTATTCTATCAGTTATTTGTTAAGAATTAATTTAAATATGCTTCTTTTAGTGAAGACAGAAAGGAATGGAATAGCATTTTAACTCGCTGATCTCTACTACAACATAATTTAACTTTAATTTGGGAATGAAAAATGATGCTGTTTAAAGTGACTGTAAACTAATTTTATTTTTAGTAGACTTCAGTATCTGCTCAAGAATAATAAAAAAAACTTCATTTTTATAACAATCAAGTGAGGAAGGTAAAGCGTTTTATGATTCTATCATAATGAAAATAGAAAATAAAATGCATCCAAGTTAACCAAATTGATAACAAATTTCATGAGCTAAATTCTGTATCTGCTTACCGATGAATACTTATTCTATTTCTTCAATCCATTAAACTTCTTATAGATTCTTTTAACATTTAATTTCACTGTTATGAGAGAAATTAAATCGCTTAACAATGATTTTGTGTCCTATTAAATTATAATTTCGAATGTTTTCACAGCAGAAAATGCATCGTAATGTAATCGTTGCAAGTCCAATTAAATTTTTCGCTTTTCATTTTTGGTATTTTTGACCTTTGCTATATTGATTTGAAAAAAAAAACCCCGTAGAGGGCCTTTATATGACTTTAAATGGTTCGAAATTTGTGTTTTTTTTCCAGAAAATCATTTTCGAATCCTGTCATATTACATCAAGTCATATCATCCATCGTATGTTTCTATTTTTTACATAATTAGGATAAAATATAGAATTTAATTATTTTTCCTCCTATGTTACATATTATCTGCTTTTTACACAAATAGGATAAAATTATAGAATAGGGACGTTATGTTTGACGAAGACTCGGCATCAGAACAGGATGAGAACAAACCAAGGACGCTATTCGAGGAGAGAAAACGTCTCATGCAGGAACGAATTAATAGTGTGAAGCAAAGTATGCTTAATTTGCGCATTAGATTGCGTGAAACTACCACTGTAAGCAATTTAAAAGTACCAAATTCTTTTTATGATTTTCTCTTTTTTTTTCTTTTTTTCACTAGTCTAAAAATGCTAAGGAAGTGCACCGTATATTCGACCGCGTTACGTATTTGCAAAACATCGCAGATCAAGATGCGGAAAATTTGATAATCGAGTTGGAAGAATCACGAAGAATCCGCCAAAAAAAGGTTAACTTCAAAAAAAAAAAAACACACACTTTTCAGGGAACAACGTCATACTAATCTGGCCCTTCAAGCTTCTGCAAGAAACATTGTTTTAATTCTAAGTGCAAGTATAAAGCATAACTAATTAATGACTGTAGATTCTCGAGAACAGAATTCTTCTGGAAAGATCGAAGTGCATCTTGGATGAATCCTTGAGTCTGCTGGCGAAATTTGAAGAATTTGTTATAAATGGTCGTGAGCGGCAGCAGTCTCCTTCATTATCCTCGGCATTAACAAATGACAACAAAAATTAAGCTATCATTCTATATTTCGCAAAAATCACAATGAAATTGCTAGTAGTGCAAGTAGAGTGCAGCAAAAAAAGCTTATTTAGTTATTTACAGAACTAATTTCCTAATTTTCCGAAGTGTCGCATGATAAAAGTAAACCGTACTGATTGATACCTACTAGTATGAATTTTAGGCTTCGTGATGCGGATGGAAACATATGGATGGAAGTGGATCATGATCAACCTGGTAAGAAGTTCAGTTTAAATTTTAATTTGTAGCTATCAGGGGATTCTTATTCTGATTAACAGGTGGAGGAGTTCAAACAAATTAGTGACTGTATTTTAATCCACAAAAAAAACTCAATTTTAATTCACAACCAAACTTTTTCAAGGATGTTCGGGATATCACATTACAGACGGCAATAAAAACGATGACACTAACAAAAAATTCAAGTGAAGAGTCTGCAGAAAGTAATAAAAAATAACAGTGAACTAACTGTCCAAAATATTTTAAGTTTTCCTCTACTAATTTGAAATTATTCAATTCAAAAATTTAAATCGTTTTTTGAAATGAAAAAATGCAACAAATTAGAGCTTTTTTATCCAGAACATTTTCTTGACTTAATATTTTACCTATCAGTAAGCACCAATTAGCGATATCATTGATAAACATAATTGGTGATTACAGAACATTAAGGTTACAATGGAGATAATTATAAGTAAATTTACAACTGTTTATAAAATTTGGTACCAGTGAAAGTAGTAAAACATGTTCAAACATATTTAACTCGATAGGACGTTAAATATTTATAATACACATTCCTCTCAAAATTTATATTGCCATACAATAAATGAATTCAAAAGGAAAGATGAAATTCTTTTATATTTCCTTATGCCAAGCATTCTTTTTTTACTGCTGTAAAGCATTTAATGATTAGTGTTTTCCTGAAGCGCATGCAAAAATGCCCGCTACACGCACGTGTATTTTATACTACTAATTTTCTGTACTCTAAAAGTACTAAAACACAAATTTTTATCACACAATATTTTATGTAAGGTTTGTATTTATCATACATACGTATTTACCAATGTATTTGTCACGCATACGTATTTATCATATTTATTGTAAAAATTTATTGTACATGCGTTATTTATCATACATCCACTTATGGAATACACGTATTTATCACACACATGCGTATTTACTATGCACATTGTTGTCACACATACGAAAGATGTACAAAAAGGCGTAGAAGATGCAGGTCACGCATACATCAGATATTCAAGAGGGATGAAGGTTTTCATTGCGTTCACTGGTTACAGAGTCTTTGATTTGTCATCAGGCATAGTGCTCGAAAGGGTGGAGCTGTCGAGGTTTGTTTTCATCTGTCTGGAGTTTGCGTTACGTTGAATTGGAGTAGAATATAGGATCTGATAGGATTAAGTGTAATAGGCAATGACAATAAATATCATTACGTGATTTGATTTGTTAATTTACATATTATTGTGAAGTTGTTTCAGAATTTTTCTCGACAACTCCATTCTTTGAAACATTTATATCATTAGTTGTACAATGAGTCGCAGGTTTGTTATTTACTTTATTAGTTTAGTGCTAGTGCTGTTTATGCAGTTATGAAGTTCACATACGTGATGTATGTTACGTCACAGTATTAATGTAATGACGGTTAATATCGCAGAAGCATAACGGAAGGATAACGTATAAGCTTCTGGCCAGCCGAGAAGGTATTATAGTCGAGTTTGATGGCCCAAAGTACCTAATAGTGGTTGATTAAATGACATAGGTGGAAAACTGTGTATATTAACCTCTTCTGGGAGACGTATTATTTTCTTTTTATCATCAGGAAATGCGTTTTACTGATGATCGGATAGTTTTAGTTGTCTTGAATCGTTCGGTATATTCTCCACAATTTTGGACTTTTTTGTTTCCCAATTAAAGTTCAATAAGCAAACATAGGGACTACTGGGACTCGTTGGCAATCTATGAGCCGACTGTCATTCAAGAGAATTTACCCATACAGCAGTTGTTGTATGGGGAAAGATACTTTACGCAAATTTAATTGTTGTAGGATTGCAACTTTGCACTCAACGGGCAAAAAAACCAGGAGCAGGAGCAGTAGTCCGTCTAGTAATGATGGGAAGCGCCAGCAAGGATTTTATGTCGGCGGTAGCGAACAGAGGTAAGCTTGATTCGTCGTGAACTTTCTGCGAGGATCAACCAAGGTATATTTGCACAGCTCTTTGAACCACTTCGCTTTGTTCTATTATAACTTGGTGAAAATGAAAATCTGAATCCTGAATTTAGAAGATAGTGATTCATTTAATAAGAATTTAAGTAGGACATCATAATATATGTACGTAATATAGGCTCGTTATTATTTTAAACTATTTCAGTGGAAATCTAGTGCTTGAGCCAGATAGTTCACGTAACGAGGATTTCGTTTCACAGTTCTTCAATTCAGCTCGTGCTCGTGGTGCTGAATCTCTGACACCAGAAGAATGTACAAAATCAGGAGCTCATGACATAGTGAAGTTATCTTCGGGTATTAAAGGTTACCGTTTGGGGGGTGCTGTTCAACAACCATCCGAGTTGGTTGAATCAAATGGTTCTACTCCAGTAAGCATTTTAATGTTTCTAATTTAGTTTTTGAATTACGTTTTAATAATCTTTTTATTTATGTGGATTTAGGATATCTATTCCATTTCTGTTTCAGCAAGATGTGACACTTGTCATGTGGGAAAATGGATTTACTGTAGATGGTGGTCCACTTCGATTGTACAGTGACATGCGAAATCATTCGTTTTTACAAACGATTGGCGAAGGGTAACTTTCAGCTTTACGGAATCGTTTTTTTTTTTTTTTTTTTTTTTTTTCTAACTCTCGAGAAGTTTTAGACTTTGTAAGGGTGTACATTCTGTTAGGTGCTAATGTATATGCATCATTTTTGTAGAAACTAGAATTGTAGCGAATTTATTAGATCTTCCAGCGAAACAAGAAATCTGAAATTCTGGTGACTTAAGCATTTAATTAGTTGTGATTTTGGCTATCGTATTAATAAAAACAGTGGCATATAACAGAAAAAAAGAGATGATACATCAGAAGCTCGAAGAAATCTTGTGTCTTGTGATTAGTTAAACTGAAGAAATCAGCCCTAAAACCTGGATGGTAAGATATATGATTGATATATATTTATAAGCTGGATGGTAAGCTATACGATTGATATTGATATAATTAAATACCTTTAAAAAATTCACTTATTATCGCGTAGTCAGTTTAGACGCGTACCGGGCGAAATAATACGGCAGTATCCGGGCAAAATTATTTACCTTCGAATGGAACGTCGAAGCGAACCACGTGTAGTTGAATCGAAGCCCTTTACTGGAGAAGGGCAGAGATTAGGTGAACTTGTTCCAACCGTTTTTTCTACAAGAAATTTGGAGCAAAAAACGAGTAATAGTGCTAATCCAGCGAACAATGGATTTGTAGGTAATCTGTGTTTATAACGTTTTAGCGAGACAAATTTGGGGTGGCCTTTTGTTTGTCTTAATATTTGTCCTTAATAAATAACAGGAAATTTCATTTTTTAGGGTAATAGTTTATAGTATTGTATTGAATTGCTTTTTGTCCACTCTCTCGTATTTCAGGATTTACTCATCTTGGAATGCACTTCTTAGGTTTGTCATTTACTTTACAAAGTGTCACTGCATGAGTATCATTCAGTGATTTAGAATAATTAGTTTTAGTGATTTTTAGATTCTGATGACATTAAGAAAGCTCAGGAAGCGACAAAATTAAATGATGAGGAACCTATAACACAAGTGCAAATTCGACTGCCGAGTGGAGAGCGGATTGTCGGGAAATTCAATCATAATCATACTGTTGGAGATATTCGAAATTTTGTCATAATGTGAGTCTATTTCCAAATGTAATTTTTATTCGTGAACTGTGTGAACAATACTGCAACTAGGCATGGTATCAACTATTACAATATTTTTTAGCGCCGCACCAGTTTATGCCTTCCAGCCGTTCAATTTGATGACAACCTTTCCGAATAAAATGATTGAACAAGAAAACATTTCTTTGAAAGATGCAGGTTTATTGAATGCAGTTATTGTTGCGAAACTTGTGTAGTTCATGTTCTGCATAATTCTATGTTTTATATTCTTTTACTTGTTTAAACGGCAACTTATCTGTTTTTTTGTGGCGTTTGAGTAATGCCAATATACCAACACATGGATAAGGAAACTTTTCACATGACGGAAGGGGAATATCATGATATTTGCTTTTTCCACTTTTTCATGTAACAGTGGTCTGAATTACTATGTTAAAGAACTAATAAAATTTCATTTGGTTAGCGTGCACTTCACTGGCTTTCCACTTTCTTTATATCTTATTGTGACTTGAAGTTTCGTAGAGTTGATGATGCATAATCACTCGAATCTTCGATTTTGAATTTAAAGGGGAAGGAAGAGAACTGGAATTTTTTTTTCTTTTTTTGAGAGAGAAGGAAGGAAAAAATTGTGTCATGATGTGTTTCATATCATGAATTTTTTTCGAAAAAATTTGACTGATTTTAATGATCAGTGGCGCCGTAAGCATTCGATGCATTGCACTAATAATGCAGTTAGTCTGTGCATTATTGGGCTGGCATCTCTTCTGTATGCTATTATCAACATAATGTAAACATGCGTTCGTTTCTAGTTGACGTTCTTCAGAATCGTGACTCATGCAGTATTAAAAACTGGACTAGAGTGGAGTTAATTTTCGTGGATTTAATGCATTTTGGGTAAACTAGTGATTTCCTACTCGTACTGTGCGGTTTTTATTCATATCGCATAATTTCGAGGGTCTTTGCTTTTCCGCGGTAGTATTTTGTTTAATATATGTGCCATGTCTTTTTAGATTCTTATGAGTTTGAAAGAGATTCTTGGTTTACAAGTATGGACAAAATTCTTCCAAATAGTTAAAGGTTGTGGTGGATGGATTGGTTTCACGAAGAAACGTTATTTGTAAGCATGTCTAGAATGTTTTACTGTAATTGTGTGTTATTAGATAGTTGCTGACAGTGGAATAGATCTCATTTATGGTATTCCATATTCAAATATTTACCGTCTTGTTTTTTTTTTTTTTTTTTTTTTTTTTTTTTTTTTTTTTTTTTTTGTGGTTTTTAACTGTTTTTTCGATATTTCTATTCTGTTTAGGATGGATGAAACGAGAGTTGGGAAATTCATGGGGGAAGATAAATTCGGCAATAAATACTACGAAGTTAGTTGGACCACTTTGTTTCCGATCATAATTTTTTTTTTAGTTTTTTTCATTTTCATAATTCTTTAATCAATTTTGAGTAATTGAAGTCAGTATTAAGTCATTAAATTTTCCATATATTTTCAAGGACAATTCATATTTTATGCCCCGAAATCGCTGGGTCGAATATCCAGAACATGTGTGGCTTGATTACGACGCTTCTCAGATTCCTGCTGAATGGTAATTTTTCCCATTTCTGGTCTGGTACATCATCCGAAGTCCAATTTTGTTGTACTATTGTCCAAATTAAGACTTGAAACGTTTTGAATGGTCCATGTTCAGTTTTATTAGACTCATACTTTCATAGGCACATGTGGTTGCATCATATTACCGATGAAACTCCTGTTCAGAATCCTCCAAAGCAGAGGAAGTGGATGTTGGATCATGAGGAGACCTTGACTTTACTGGAGTAGGTGTTAGAAATATTTTATTATTGCTCTTCCCATAGAGTTTTTATTGAGAAGGTTAGTTTTCGGTTGCTTTGCATGGTTTTGAATTTTGAGGACGCTTTTCACAATAGATTATAACTTTGTGTCTTACTTATTTTGGTCTAGGTTTGTTGTTAACTAATGATGAAGTAAAAAAATTTTTCAGAAATCGGAAGTATTACCCTTATTCGACAACAAAACAGAAGCTATCATTATGGAACCCGAAGTTTAAGGAAACACACTAACTGATTCGAAAAATCTATTTTTCTGTATTCTTACTAATGTAAAATATCTGGTGTTCTGCCATATAGATAGCAATATTTAATTATTGATAAAGATTATTTTGAGTTTCCGAATGTTGTGACGGTCGGGATTAAAAATCACTTTTCTTTGGAACACGCTAGGTTTTTCTATGGCAAATTTTTCATCGTCATACGGCTGCCCTGAGTTGCCGAACGAAGTGTATGGTTCGTTTAATCCACCAGTAGTTGGTGGACAAATAGTCTTTCAACGGGCATCATCTGGTGATTTTTCCTTGGCTTGCTGGGTGCTTTGAAAATATCTTTGACCGCTTGTCATCAAAGACCTTTCCAACTAATTATGTGCATGGAATTCTTATAGTCCGTTGATCTTTGTATTGCACAAGAAGTTACATAATATTTTTGAGCAAATGAGGGTTAAGATAGAATAGACATATTTTAATGAATATGAATGACAAGAATTGGGTTTGAAGCGCATGATGGGCGTCATTTGGGGATTGACCTACATCGCTGAGGAGGGGAGCAGTCCGTTGGATGGTGAACATTGCGCTGATGATGATCATTATTAGTTCACCAATATGTACATTGCCATTCAGCCGCTTCTTACTTATCATTACTGTTATCATTGGGCGGTTCAAGCTTAGTAATCAGTTCCGATGGAAGCGCGACTTTATGTATGTTTCTGAGGTGAATTCCACTGATGCTACGTGTTTCCAGGTAACTTTAAGAGTCTTTCGGTTGATTGGTAGGAAGTAAGATATCAATAAAAAGTATTATTAAATGATAACAGGAGAAGTTATACTTGCACCATCATGCTAGGTTTTTTTTTAATTGACCACATGTATCTAAATTCAAATCTGTTTAACTGAAGATTTTCATATTATGAGATATAGGATGTCAAGAATTCCATCATATATATTTGTATGGTTGTAAAATATTGCATGACATTAATTTGTCAGGTTATAATATTCTTCAATTACATCTCACTGATGTGGTATAACTTACGAATATTCAATTTGCAGGACTGCAATGATGAGTGGAAGAGTGTTTTTGAACATGAGTTCAATTTAAGCACTACTGATTTTTATGACTTTCCTTTGCATCCTGCAGTATTGGATCGTGCTGGATTCGTTACTTACTGCAATATATCAGAACAGCGCACTCAATGCTACATTAATGAATGTAACGATCAGGCCAGTTTCTACTTTTTATAGGAATTCATTTGTTTCGAAAATTTTCTCTCTGAGTGTAAATGGGAAAATGACCAATGAATTGTAGTACACTAGCTCCTTCCGCTATCTTCCATCAGGAAATATCACTTATCAAATTCGTAATACTAATAATATTAAGAATATTTTGGTTTAGTATGATTAGATGAATGGGCTATTTCAACATGTGGGAATAGAAAAAGAAGTAGAGTAAATTTTTCATTATAACTTAGATTTCAGTCAGAAGCTATTTGCTTTCTCTTTCACCCCCCTTTTGCCTTTAATTTTTCTCAGTTAAATTGTATCTCATTCTGATCGCACGCAAATTCTGTAAAATCCATAACTATATGACCATATTTTTAGCAGGAATGCCCTAATTTTCGTTTCAATTTTGAAGTGCTCGAAGGTTACATTTACGAAAAATTTCAGACAGCAGTTCGAGTATTTTCACCATCCAATTTCCTGTGCCGTTTCAAGAAGCATCATTTTCTGGAAGCGCGAAGCTGCCTGGAAAAAACGGAGCCTCTAACATTTCTGAAATGTGATCAAACGTGTCACTTGGAAGCATTAAAGAATATCGAAAACAGAGAGCGAGCATTTCCAGGAAAGGTCGTTTATTTATAGTATTCTTAAAATAAACCTAAGTATTAAGTATGAGATAGCTTCAAATCCAGTTTGCTAATTTTCACTTAAATTTGGATGTATTTCTGAAGATTTAAAAAAAAAAAAAATAGTTTTCATATCCTTTCCTTCTGTTTAGTAGAATAGGGAAAATTCGCTTAGAAATTCACAGGAAAAGAATCTTTTTCAGGTGTTCACTAAAAAAGAAACAAGCAAGTATGAACGGGAGCTTGGTCTACTCTGTTCTTTCCAGTCATGTTATTTGCAGTGCGAAGAATGTAAGAAAAAAAATATCGCATTATCTCTCACATATATCGAAATAAAATCTGATTCAGACATCTTGTCTAAAACAAATTTAAGTAGTTTTGCTAGATAAAACTTATTTCTGAAAGATTCAGGTAAGTTGAAGAAATACTATCACGTGATAAATTCCTAAAAGACAGGCGATCTACACCAAACGTACTGCACAGTTAGTCATATATCTCACAACAGCTTTTAAAATTTATATTTTGTTGATTTAAAATTTTAGTTTTTTTTCTTTATAAAATCTGCAGTGATAGTGAAAGGAAGCTGCGAGAGAAAGGAAGCTGATTCAGCGCTTGCGCTAATTTCACAGTATGTTACTTGGCATGCATCAGATATTTACGACTGGCACATCCTTTCTGATTCCCTCGATCATTTTCCATCAAGTTGTCAACGACTGGTGTTAACACTATCCAATGCTGATCCCGTTGTTCGCATTATTAGTGGCTTTTCTTAATGTTTTTTTTTTTTTTTAATTTAAATACAACTAAATTAACATAGTTCAACTTAATAATTGAATTTGGTCTTCAAAACAACTTCATATTTAACAGGAACATCCCTTGAATAATTTGTAATGTTCATGTATTTTGAGTCAGGAATTATTCCGAGCTTTGTGTTTTTGTTTTTCTTATAATTTGTGCCAAATACAAGCTGAATACATTAGCTACTTTAACATTACACTGTTTACTGTTTATATTGTGTTTTTGTCAAGTATAAATTAGCAGTTTTGTCACGATTCCAATGAGTTTATACTGCATGGGCGACATAAAGTATAGGCTTCGAAATACTTATGGTACGGTGCATAAAAACTGGAAATTACGAGAGATTGCATTTTTCATTTTACCTAATATCTGATTCAACAAATTTCCTCTGGAATGTTGTAACAAGAAATTGTTAGTTGAACTAATCTAGTTTATGCATTATATATTCTTGAAATTAAGTGATAATTAAATGATATTGCACTTTACCTAGAAAATTTTCATCTCTCGATTTCCTTAAAATATTTGGACTGAGATAAATTTTCGGATACGAAGATAGTAATTATTCTTCTAATAATGACTTTTCGTTCATTCAACAATTGTTTCAAAATTTTTCATCAGATGTCCTGAAGCATACAATGATATCATCTTCAGTTTTCAAAAAAATTGATAATTCAGAACTTAAATCAAATTTATACTCACAATTACTCTTTGTTGACCTGTTTCCTTTTTTGGACTTTTCAGTTGTGTTAATAAAAATTACAATTCCATCTCTACTGTCAAAGATTTGTTCAACACTGGCATCATTATAGGTGAGTAAACGGCGATAGATAAATCAGGATAGGCGATAGATTTTTAAAATTATTTTCTAAACGTTGTTTTTCTGAGTTCCTCATACTATATCATCAGCAATATTTTCTCATCCCTATATTACATAGTATTGTATGATTCAAATGAAACAATTTAATCGTACGTTCTTCAAATCAATCCAATGCACATTGCATACAATTATTATTAAAAAATTCAAATTTATCACTTGCAATATGCTGAAGATTTTAAAACAAATTTAGGAGAAAGTGTTTTTGAAAATAATGTAGCAAAAAAGATAAAACTTACTAAGGATTTTAAATAAGAACTATTCCTATTTGTCATCTTTAAAAAAAAAAAAAAAAAAAAAAAAAAGAAAAAAATGATCATAATACCAAGATTCGCTAGAATTGACTGAATATTACTGACAAGATTTCATTAATTGTTTAGATATTCTTATCTGGATTGAGGTTATCACATCAACTTCATAAAAGAATTGAATAATATTCAAGGAAAGGAGTGGATTTGCAATAAGCTACATTTCAGAGGTTTTTTTTTTCTATAATTTAATGGATTTCTAAATGGTTGATAATTAAATTTATTAAAACATGTAAAAATTGGAATAAAAACTTATTTGAAAAAAATTCTTGAAGCTTTAAATTTGCAGCAGATCTGGTCAATTTTAAATATTGTTCAAACTTTTGAAATTCAATTTTAAAAGCACTTTTCAGAATACTAACAAAAAATGGTCGAAAAAAATTTTATATAGTTAAATGATAGTTTTATTTGAAGCAAAAATAAATTTTATCAGGTCCGGAATAGTAGTATCATTTTCTTCTACTCTCTACACGGTTATATCAATTTCTAAATTTTTTTTATACATATAGGAAACATTTTACAGTGATCATCGATCAAATTGACTGTACCGTATAACGGAGAGATCCTGTCCGCCAGTATCAGTTGCAAAATCAAATCACCATTTTCTTGCTTGCTTTTGCCCTAAAAATAATTAAATAGAAATATTCTCTTTTTTGTATGTTTTGGACTTTCTTCATAGAATTTAAATAAAAATCATTTGAATCAAGCCGTCTATCATGATGCAGTATTTTTTAATTTCGTTTCAGCAAAGCATATATCTTCTTGTGCTTCAATATAGTTCAACTATTCTCAATCCTGCATTGTTTTTAAATTTTTTGGTAGATTTTGAACCAAAAAAAAAAGCTTAAAAACAAAAATTTTAAATGCCATTTTGATGGATGAGTTAAAGATTGCATTTGCATTATCGAATAATTGCAACAATAAGTAAAGATTATCATACTGTAGCATTAATTGATTGCATCCCAATTATACCTTTTTTTTTTTTACTAAAAGCGGAACAATCACGACAATCTACATAAACGAATAGATGAAATAATTATTAATGCTGTGTATTGAGGACGTTCAATAAGGACTAGTTGAAGGAAAAAAAAGAAAAAAAAGAGGAATATAGCAATCTCTCTTGTCCTTATGAGATATTAAATGAGAAAATAAAAATGATGGAATAAATGAAATATTTGACGTAGAAAAAAAATGGGTTAAAGATGAAATGTGAGCAGAGTGGTTGCAAGAATGATAAGTGACGGGAAGCATAAAGAAGGATAAGGCTACGATATGTTAAGAAGGATAAGCAGATTGAAAAAAGGATAAAGACCAAGGGATGGTGAAAGAAATGGTAAACATTGTTGATATATTGTGAATGTTATCCTACATAAATAACGATGACATAATTCAAGGGCATAGATATGTCATTTTTATTTGCTTGAAAATCTTATTTAAATCCCATAATAACGATACGAAATATCTATGGAGGATGAAACGTCATCTTCTACCTCCCATAATATGCTGACCTCAAATCACTTTTGGGTGATGCCCAAAAATTAGTATTTGGTAATCGGATGCGTTCAATCCTCTTCCTAGGTATCTGCTCATGTTATCTATTATTTATGGATAACTTCATTGCGCCTTTCATTATATCGCCTAATCTTAATTTACCAGTAAGTTCTTTCATCATTACTTATATCTTTTCAAATTAAATTCTATTTTCTGTAATTACTTCTTCAATTCTCGCACTCATTTCTTTTTTAAATTTGAAATCGTTCTTGGAATACGCAATTAGTAACAAATAGATTGGATCGAAATGATTTGGCAGTTGATTATAGTTTGTTAGCTTTTCTAAAAAAAAAAAGAAAAAAAAACTCACCATACCGTACGCATGTTCAAAGAAGAAAACTAAATCTACAGAAAAATCTTGTTCCATGTTCTGTCTCAATAAAGTTTTTATAAAAACAGATTTTTAAATCATCCTTTTCATGTTTGTGCATCAGAATGCAATTTAGTGAATGACAAGTGTCAAATCAAATAAAATAATTTTGATCGCTTAAATGATTAGCAATAACCAATAAAATAATTTCCAAAGAATTCAGTGTAGCGCAAATTGTAATTTTTTTCTTTTTTTGATTTCAAATGAGAATGAGGAAGATACTTTTGGTCATAATTATTAATTTCAATAATTTCAATTTGTCAATTTTTTTTTTCATTATTTGTTTGTCATCATGCTATCATTTCATTTGTTTTATCTTGAATTGCATAATTTAAAGCTTCATGATTATATCATATTAACAAACTTAGTCTTTCATTAAAAATTTGACACTTTCCGTCAATTTCAAAAATTAGGCTTAGCTTGTTCATATATTCTATAACTGCTGATTCCATTAATAATAATTTTTTCATATTAGAAAAAATTAGCAATTTTAACGGTAGCAAAATAGCTGCATATTACATAATATTGTGAAATTGATGCATCAACTAAAATGTCACACATAACGATGAGTTCAGTGCGATTTTCGCTCTTATATCTTACTTTGTTTAATGGTTGCAGTAAATGTTCTCATTAAGAGATCATAATAATCAATCATTGTACCTAGAAGGCAAATAGCCTGATAATGATTCTGCCTTATTAATATTTGTTTCAATTTCAGGACATTTCTAATCTCAACGATGAGATTAAAAAAAGTAATATCAATCTACTTTTTATTCTTTGATACATTAAGCTTTCATTAGTTAATAATCAATATACACTGGAAAATAATACCTAACATTTAAAAAGATTAAATAATCTAACCTCTTGAGCTTAAACTTTAATGCATCATATCAATGTAATATTATAAAAATTATAATTGATTTCAAATAACTTGAAATAATATAAATTCACATCATTCTATTTCCATTTAAGCTGAATAACTTTCCGTTAACGGTATGTGCGATCAATCTTTTGGCAGCCATACAATTACCAGTTGCTTACGCTTGCGCAGCTACTCCACCAGTTGTAACTCCAACCCCACTTCAACCACCAACTCAATCTCCTCCTGGCATGTTTTCCTTTTTTTAAAGTCATATTTGATCAGCTGTTAGTAAATGAATCGAATACAAGTTTGACAAAAAAAAGAAGTTGATACCAGAGATCTCTTTCAAAAATCGACAGACTGGTATTAGACGCTATGATGGACTAATCATTTCAGACTACTCTCATAATAACAATATAAAACTAAATATTTTCATATAGTTCTAAAATTTTCAGTTTGCTGTCAACCACTGCTGGTGTCACCAACAAATAACACAAATCTATCGAATGGCATAATGTCATTCATCTACAGCAGCAATACCTGTCGCGCATTAGCCATTGCAACTTGCTCGTAAGAAATTTTTAAGTTATTTCTATTTCTAAAATACAGGAATCCACTAAATACATGTAATGAATTGATAAAGCAAAATTATTTTATGCTTTAAAATTCTAATTAGAAATGAATTTAAGATAGTAGAAATGGAAATGAGTTTAAAAAGAGAATTAAGATTAAGACTGAATATCTGAATAAGAATTCATGCTAAAGAACTGAACAAAAATTTGTTTTGAAATTTAAGTTGGTATTTAAAATACTCCAATTGGAATTTCAATTGTAGACAACCAACAGTAGCACCAGCGTTGCAATTGATGGCTGGTATAACGGTGAATCAACTGAATTTTATAAATATTCAACCAGCAACCGTATCAATACCATTAGTTTGTAATAAACTAAGACAGTGGGAAACTGGCGAACCTCCATTAGTTATTAACACAATACAATGTATCCTCAGTGCTCCTTAAATGTCTCATATTGCCTAAACATAATCTTTAGTAAAATTTTAATTTATCTCTTGAATTTTAATAAAATTTTTGAATAATTTGATTTAAAAAATGTGGTAAAGTTCTCTTTTACTGAATGAGAAAATGTGTAATGAGAAAATGACGAATAAGTACAGTGTGAACTGATCCGACCCATTCGTTTTTTATTAATTAAATTTTTTTCTACATAGTAAAATTTTTCTAATAAAATTTCTACAATTTACCAAATGCCTACAAAAATAAATCACCGTTCGTTAGTTACTTCTTCTCTCTTTTTTTTTAAAGCATTATCTACAGAGATGTTCAATTATTTACCTCGTCTATAAAATTATTGAAATAATTGTTTCTATACAATTGCTTATGTAATTTTCATTGAAAAATACATTAATTTAATTTATCAAAAAATTTTAAACATTAGAAGGAAAAAAGTTCAAAAATTCATAATGAAAAGTTTATTGGCAATATTTCTCTCAGCAATTTCCTTTTTTTTCCCAAGGAGAAAAACCTGAATGTAGTATGGCAGACAACTTTTTGGAGGAAAAGCATTTTTATAATTTAATATTAATTTTCTCCTAAGTACGTTGTATACTATTAATTTCCTTTAGTTCCATATTAACGCCGGACATTTTTCATTGATTAAAAAAGGAAACAAAACCTTCTAGAAATAGAATGTGTAGTGTGTTCAGAAGAGATGAAGAAAGATAATTGTCAAATTTAATTTGTAGAGAATAAATTATAAGTTGGCTAGTCAAGAAAATCAATATAATCCATGAATGAATTTACGAAATAAACAGCAATGACTCAGTGATAATATCATTATTATCATATCTGTAATCGTTTGGAAAAGTTATTACTTAATATTTAAGAGTGTGTTTCAAATTGGTCAGTTGTAAATGAAATTTATTGCATTATAAAAAGAATACCATTTTTAATGCTTTTTTTTTTCTGAACAATTTGAAAATTTGGCAAATATAAGCTTTCCATACTTTAATCTGTTGTAAACTTTCAAAATAGTAGATAATCAGTTGGAAAGAAAAGTCAAAAGCATAATTATTTAAAATATAATACAATTGCAATCTATCATCTTTAAATTTAATAAATTTTGTGTAAATAATACCGTCAGAAAGCCCACAGTATAATATCATTCTCTTCTGTTAAATTACTCAATTACTTTTACTCTTTATGAGTAATTCAACTTTTGAGTAATACAATTAAAGAAAGCAGTGATAGTAATTATTAACATAAATACTTCAATTTTTTAAAATGATATATGATTAAAAGCAAAAGAACAAAAAAAGATTAAAAAGAAAAGAGAAGTGAAAAATGAAGATGATAAAGAGATGAATGTTGTTTTTTGATGTATTACTTTTTGTTATCCAACAACTGAAAATTTTGTTTTTTTTTTTTGTTCTTTTGTTTTTTTAACTAAATAATGATGGTTTTTTTAACTAAATAATGATGGTAATGTATGTGCTCGAAGAAGTGGAAAATGATACATACATAGCTCATCCTATGAACTTTTCAACCACTTACTCCCAATTTAACTTCCAAACCAGGTAACAAAAGTAATCTGTCCTAACAATTGTATTGGTTTCATTACTATTTATGGTTAACCTTTGTTATCATTTTTTTCCACCAACTTTTCTGTCCTACAATTATCATTTTCGTTTGATTTGGTAAATCATTTCAATTAGCTTATTTTAAACAATTACATTCTCATACAATTCGATGTAAAAATCACATAGCGGCTAATGATTGAAAAATGAACAGAAAGAGGTCAAATTAACTGTATTCATATAAGAAATCAATAAGCATTTAAGCATTCATTATACTCAGCGGAATTATTTTACAAATTAATACGGCTTTGCACTAATTTTGAAATGAGAATTTACGATAACAGTAATTGAAGTATTCACTTTAAGTAACAAATTAATAGGACGTTGTTAGAAATGATTCGATTAAATTGATTTTTATGATTAGGAATTATAATTTAAGTAATTTAGATTATAGTTGCAAAGGAAAACATTTCTTTACACGTTCAGTTAGCTAAACAGAAAGTCTGCTCGAAATTTAGAAAGTTGTTCTTCGGCATGGATCAGTTTTCTTAATAATGTACAATGTGATTAATTTAAATGAGTGATCAGGCGAAGCAAAAGATTACTGATGAGGAAAACATGAAAAAGTGAAATCAGTTAATTATTAATTATTAAGGCATTATTAAAAGTATTGGTGATTGATAAGTTAATAACACACACAATCAATGGATGGAATATGATTCAAAAAACTACCGAAAATTTGGTAGTACTGAAAATTCCCAATTTCTTTTCATCGTATTGTGAAAGTTTTCAATTAAAATTAATAGTAAACAACCATACGAAAAAATCTGAATTTAACTGAACAACAATAATAAATGGTGGTGATGTAAGAATTTGTCATTTGATATATGTGTGAATAAAATGAAAATTCAGCCAACTGACTTGTATCTTATCATGCTTGTTCAACTTTCAACAAGTAAGATGACTATAGCAATTTTAAATAACCTTGTAAGACTGATGGAAGTAGGATCATGGAGTAATAAAAATAAGATGATAGAGCCTGTTTTTATAGGTGAAAGACTCAAAGTTAGATGCTCATAGTTGAAGCACTTTTTTTCCATGAATTTGAATTAATTTAAGGCGAACTTGTTTATTTCGAAATAATGAAGCATTAAAAACTACGTTTATTTGATAAAGCAAATATCATAAAAGTCTATCTAAGAGAAAGCAAACAATTAAGCAAATAAATTTACAAAAAAACGCTTAAATATTATTAAATGAAGTGTCTTCGATCATTTGGCATTTGTTGCAGCTAACTCCAAATAATACTTAAAAAAACAACTTATAAATCGAGCACGATTTTGATTTTTATTATGTATATAATAAATCGTTTTAATAACTCAACAGCATGCTGCAAAAGGTTTTCTGATGTTGCTATTTGCTTTTTTAAAGAATGCCAATCTCTGTTTTTAAGAAAGAATGAACAATCAATCTTTTCATGTTTTTTCCATACCGAAGGGACAGTTTAGAATTTTCAGAAATTTTTAGTTAATTGAAAGAAGGAGAAAATTTCATAGAAAACATATACTTCTCAAGAATTCTATTATTTCCTGAAGAAATTTTGAAATTTCTTTAAGAAAACTGTGGTTTTAAAATAAAAAAAATTTCACTCTGAGTGTAAAAAAAATCTTACTGTCTGGTTTGCTAAATATACATAACAGGGAAAAAATATCTAAAGAATGAAATATAGTTTCGAAGAATATATTTTATCTCTTACGCAGTTCTGTGTGAGCTAAAAACCGATATATCTTAAAATTAATTTACTTGTTTATCATATTTTCTTGAAGCTAACCAGTTAGCAGCTTTCGATCTAACACATTTAAACGTTTTAAATTAAAATTAAAATTCTTGAGTGTAGAGTTAACGTTAATTATAAATAATTTAACGGATGTCTTTACGATCTATGAAAGAGAAAATGACCGACCAGTAATTGATCACATTTTATCAGTAATAGCATTGTTTCTAGGTATGCTGTAGTTATGAGATATTTTAGGATCGATAAATAGTGAAAATACTGCAGTGATATACTGGATCATTGATGATAATCCTTGAGTTTCTTATGTGTTGGTTTTTTTTTTTTCTGAAACTAATATCTTTATTTGGCTTTTTTTTTTCTTTTTTGTAGCTAAGTAATCAATTGGAATATCTCAAGATTTGTTTTTATCAAAAACAAAAAGTGATGGCAGCATTTGTCTTGCTTGAAATTAAAAAAAAATAGTGTAAACTATGTGTAGAAGAAAACATGTCCATAGCTTTGCAAATTTCAACCGATGCAGTCGTAATGATAAAATAATATAAAAAGTGTTGAAAATGATTTGTAAAAATATTGTTAATACTAATTAATACTATAATAACAATAAGTATTTGTAATTAACGCTCATTGAGAAACTGATAATCATTATGTAATCGCTATTTTTTCTTTTTTTGATAGTTTAAGACACTAAAATTATTATTTAATAATCACTAATGATAGATGGATGTATTATTCCAAGCAATGCATTAGATAACACGAGGGCGAATACGACTGAGGCATTGCGCGCAATTGCATTAACGATAACAAAAAATATGCATAATATAGCGAATGTTGTTAATACAACTGGTGAATTCGTTATCTACGTCAGTGATTGCTTCGTGGACATCTGTGGATGATAGCTTGGTTGACATTGATCTTCTGCTTCTATTGTTCTGAGTAAATACTTTTCAGAAACGGATATCCATTTGGAAGTTCAATTCAGGTCAGACCTGATAATATGAACCAAATAAATAACTCGGTACAATTTTCAAAGTGAACTTCAATTTGTGAAAAAAAATCATCCAAAATTTGGTATTTGTAAAATAGCAAAATAATTCTATTTGTGATATAAAAATGATTCAAGTTTTTGTTAATATTTCGAAAAAAAAAATGAAGCTGAAATTCTTCTGATTTTTCTTTTTTTTTCTGAATTACATTTTCCAAGTATATTCAGAAGTTTTGAATGAATTATAAACAACTGATATACTTACAGTACGACATGTTTCTGATGCAAATAATGCTACCACATTGTCACTGAGCCAATTATTAATCTGAGATTTTAAAAGATCTTCCAGCAAAGAAAAAAAGAAAAAAAAAAACATTGAAAATTGCGTGAATTCTACAAATGTATAATTAATGCAAGATTTTCGTAAGCGTTATTTCTTTTTGAATTTTAATTTATTTTCTTAATAAGGATTTTCTTATTTGATATTTTCTCTACAAAGAGGAGAAGAAATTTTTTCCTTAATAAAACGATTTTCCAGAAAATTGAGGAATTACTGTTGAACTCTTCGAAATAATTGCAATCAGAATGGAGCTGGCAAATCATTCAAGACAGCAATTAATAATTCAATTATTCCTCGTAAAGTATATAATATATATATTGAACTGAATCTGAATCGAAGAAAAATGGTTTTCTTCTTGTGATACTTTAAAATAAGCTCTAATTCTTATTATTTATAAATTAAATCATAGGCGAAATCGTTTGTGCAATAAGTTGATCTGTAATATTTTCCGAAGCAGAAGTTTTTTGGGACATTTAATTAATACAAATTTTCTAATAACATCTAAAGTTTGTAAATTTTAAAATATTGAAGACATTAGCATTTGAAATTTGCTGTCTTAGAACTAAAGACAAAAAGCTTAATTTAAGGATAAAAGTTTTTTCATTATTAACAAGGAGCTGCTGCTGCAGAATGACCAACAATTTCAAGTTAGGCATTGTCAACTGATTTGTTCAATTTATATTTTAAAAATGCAGCAGTTTTTCTTGCATTTTTTCTTTTCATGTTTGCAAGTAAAAAGTTTTAGCCAAAGAGTAGTACAAGGCTGCTAAATTTCTAATCAACAACCAACAGTTTCCTTACTTCAATCTTGCTTAAGTAAATTTTATTTCAACCATTCATATATATATATATATATATATATATTACATAGAATCTGAATAGGCTCAATTTTTAGTGTTAAAACGAAAGCAAAAAGTTAGAAATAAAATCTGATGCAGCTAATTATAATACTTCTTATGAATAACCTAGCTAATTTCAACAATTAAACTTCAAAAAGTTTGAAAATTTGAACTTGAAATAGGAGAGGAAAAATATTTTACTGAAAAAGTAACAATATACCTTTTTTTTTTCTGAATAGAACAAAATACTTTTCGGGTATAGAAATGGAGATGGGATAAAAGTGTTACATTGCTACCGGCTTCTTTCGTGTCATTTATTTCCTTGAGTTGTTCATATAGGACAAACGTATCAGAGTGGTTCGTTCATTAAATGACAATTTACTGACGCTATTTAAATCATGGAAATATCATAATAAAGAGGAAGAGAGAGAAAAAAAAAGAATGTGCTTATCTTCAAGTTTCAATATTTCTTTTATATTTTTAAGTTGTGGGATGATGATGATTTATTTACAAATTTTAAATAAGGCTTATGAGAAAGGTTTATTGGGTTGTAAAGCACTTAAATGACTATACCAATTAATCATCAAATGGTTATTATGTTTAATTCAATTGTATTCCAGAAAGCTTTGGATCATCACATCTTTGTCGGTCTTTTCGGCAGTATCTTGTGACTCTTGTACCTTGTTGTGACCTGAAAATTTAATCAGGTACTATTAATCAAAGAGAATTTATTATTTGTAAAACAGGAAAAACCTCATAAAAAATCTCACTCACAAATGAAAGGTAAGCCAACTTGAACTTTTGCATCTCGAATCGCATTTCATTTTTTTTTTCCGAAATCCACAAAATATTTCCCAACAATGGATGGTTATCAACAGCGTCATTGAGGAGTGAACTGTGTAAAAAGTGTAAATTATACTTATAGAGAGAAGGTTACGGATGTAGAAGTTTTGTTAAAGAAATAAGTGTTACGAAGGGAGTAATGATTTAAAAGAAAGCAACTCATTAATTAACATTTAACATTAGGAGTAATTTAGACGGCCTCCTCTTGTTGTGCCTTTTCAAGATGTCTACAACGCAGTTTTGCGCGAGCTGCGCGAAAAGACACGACAATAAAACTTCAGAAAAAGGTGACACAACCGGTTGGCATCCCCTATTCAACTCAACAGTCCCCGTTTTTCATACTCTTTCTTTTCTCCCTATACAACGCTCACCGCTCCCGCTCTAATATCCACTTTAGTTATTTTGATCGGATTCAACTATTCTCTTTCATCTCTTATCAATTACTTATCCTCATTACTTTTTATTACCTCTATTTTTTTGATAAAAAACGACAGAAGCGCTGTAAGCAGAAGTTTTCCATTCTTAAAACATTGTTTGTAGAATCATTAATGTCAATGTTTATTTTAACTGATAATCTGATAGATATAAATCATCTTCAAGCCATCACTACTATTCGACAGGATGGAAACTGAATAAAAGAAGTTATGTAATGATGCATTGTAGTACTTGTTGCAAGAAGTACGATCTGTTTCCAGTATACAATCTTGTTCGATTGTTATCTATCTAACTTGTGGGCGTGTCGTATCATGAATTAATTCACGGAATGATTCCAAGAACTCTCAGATGTTTCAAATTTATTTCACACAAGCATATTTCCAAAAAACAGAAAAATTTTTTTTCAATAATACTGTACTGTTTATTGTATAACAATTGCCTTTGTTACACTTGTAACTTACCTGTCATCCTTTCAGACCATTTACCACAATCGCTCGTTTCCAGCCCACTTGCTTTTTCATGGTCTGTGATACGCATACGTAAAGTGCGTAAGTAGGTCTAAAACTAATTATTTGCTCCTTCTCTCTCTCTCTTTCTGTTTTTCTCGTTCTTAGCTACTATCATTACGCTATCTTTAGTTCCGAGCTCTTAAATGAGGGTCATAAATGTAAAACAATGTTTCTAAATATTGATATTCATAATAGCTCCGTTTTTTGTACTTTTAAAGAAAAAGTGAGGTTGAATACCATTTAACATTGAAGTTTAACAATTTCAATGGACGTTTTTTTGTTGTTTTTTCTTTGCTCTAAACATTTCACAGTTATTCTGAAGTATGATTATTCAGTTTTCTGAATATAAATGAGTGAAGAAGAACGGGTACATGAAGCAGCTGAAGGGATCTCAAAAGGCACGCGATTAACAACCCAAGACAAAATTTCAGATGACCAAGTGGAGGGACAAATACAAGTTGATCGTAAACGATTAGAATCAATGATCACGGGTTAGTTTGAAAATCTCACCTTTAATTTCAAAATATAGGCAAAGAAGACTTTTGAGACTTAAAATTTTCAAAATTTGGGATAAGTTTTGTTTCGTTTTCTGAAAATCTCCATACAATCAGTATCATTCCCTTAGTCAGTACAGAATGTTTTGGTGGTAGCTTAATTATAAAACACTGAATAAAATAAGTGTTGTGAAAAGATTTGATGACAATTACTGATCAATTTGTAAACGTCAATAAATGTTGAATATTAATTAAAATTAAAATTGAGAATTAAAATTATACATTTCAGGTGAGCCTCTATACGGGTCCGAGAAATTCCTTCCATCAGCAGAAGAATTCTTTCAAAAAGTAAGTTTGTTTTCATAGTATTTATACTGAAAGTTTAGCTCGAATAAAAAAAAGAAAAAGATTTCTGAAGAATTTTAATCTGAGAAAGATTAACTAATTAATACACTCCATTCATCGATGGTTCAAATATTTGGCGGTAAATTACCGCTTTTACATGGTTTTTTTCAGGTTACTGAACTCTCTGGTGCTGTTATCTCTTGGCCAAGTCGTTTGAAAATTGGTGCAAAGACGAAAAAAGGTAGTTAATCTTTCTCAGTTAATGTTTCCCAAATTATGTCCAATTTTACGAGAAGCCAAAGAAAATAGTTTCGTCTCCCAAATTATAATTGTGTAAAAAAGCACTATACTTTCCAGATCCTTATGTCAAAATGTTTGGTACAGTAGAACAAGTTAATTGCGCCCGTCAGTTGATTGCGTCTACACTCAGAATAAAGGTAAGGTCACCCATTTAGATTACCTCACACTTTCTCTTCCTTAATCATTCCTCTACTCTCACGTTAGTGAAACACTTAAAAGTCATTATATTTTTATTGTTCTTCGCTTACAAAAGCTACTTTATAGCGCGATAAAATATCACTGAGGATTGAAATACCACACTGTGATCATTCCAAAATAATAGGACGAAAGGGTAAAAATACTCAGGATATTATGCGTGATACAATGTGTCATATTCATTTCCCAGATTCAAACAGAATTCATGATATGGAAAAGAACAATCAGGTATTATCATTATTGAGATCGTTCCTTTCAGATAATCTTCGTGTCAAAATTTACAAACAAAGAAAAAAGAAAGAAAGAAAAGATTAGAGAAATTCACTGTAGTTGTTGTCTACAACAGACGAACAACAAATACTTGTTTGGTACATGAATGTCATTTCATCAGTCCACTCTAAGAATTATGGACATCTCCATCTTGTTTCTATCAAAATATTTTTTGCTTTAAGCTTTATTATCATATCAGTGCTTTATATTATACTGCTGTTTTTTTTCTTTTTTTAAGCGAAGTAAATCTTTTTTTTTTCTTAATTAATATCATCGTTATATTACAATTAATAAATAGCTGAAGATAGTTCTGATCAGGTATCAGTATCTGGAACAGTTCGACAAGTAGAAAAAGCACGACAACGATTACGAGTAAGTCATCATTTTGTTTCCTACGACACTTTTAAATTATTAGGATCTTTCATGTTATAGTGCATGTCAATATATTTGAATAGAAATTTGTAATTCCATCTATTAAGCTTATTTATCAATCAATTATTCTTTTTGATTTATCATATTAATTAAATGTTTACATATATTAGTATTGTTAGTGATGCTATAAATATACATTAGTTTTCTTCCTTCCTTTCCAGAAACTATCACCACTATGTATTGTATGCGAATTGCCGAACACATGCCGTTATTCTTTTCAAGAATTGCAAAGAAACATTGGGCATTCGGATATCTTTGTTAGTTTACGTGAGGAACGAAATGGTAAAATGAAATGTGTTTTGAAAGGAATCGAACAAAACGAAGTAGAAATGGTTAAAGCCATTATGATTCTTGCTAAAATGTATCACTTACAGGTGTATTTTTACATCATTCTTTTTTTATCTTTTATCAAAAGCATTTAATCATTTCTATTCATATTACTTGTTTGTCTCCTCTAAGCTTCAATAATACATATTTAATTATCTTATATGTTTATACTTTAAAAATTCAACTCCCTCTAAAAAATGGATAAACATATAATAAAAAAAAAATAATAAAAATAATAAATAATAAAAAATATATGATTATGGCAATAAAAAAAAAATGCTGCAGAATGATTATGGTCTACTTTGTCATACAGTTATCAATGCATATAATTGTCTTGAACTGTTACTACGCGATAAGTCTAAGAAAGAGGAAATGCAATGGTTGACTCAACAAACTTCAACTCATATTATTCAGTCTAATACTGTTGAAAATGGTTTTGAATTATTTATTGTTGGTCCAATTGCTGGTATTTTGATTGCACGAAAATATATTATTGTAAGTTTTCCTGCATTCTGTTGTGCAACTTGTTCTGTTCATGAAAATTTATCTGTTAAGTGTTTGTGCATGTATCATACGCAATTGCTATATTGTTAAGAATATTTCTAGGGTTTACTACCTGTAGCAGTACAATTTGATCGAATATTGGAATCCAACTACGATTTGATTGACAAAACTTTGATTGAAACAAAATTCGGCATTACCGTCAATGAGAAGTGGCGCAAAAGTCGAACCGTCAATAATGCTACGGCAAGTTTAACTATTTATCCTTATTTCAGCAAAATGATTGTTTGGAATTTTCCTTAAAATATGGTATGAGTTTTTCAATATGCACCTTTCTGGAAGATTGACCAGATTCAAATATATTTTAGCAGTGTTCAATATCATGCCAAGAAATACTTGATAAAGAATGATGGTAAAGTCTATGATACCTCCGTTTTACATCTTGCTTTTCAGTCATGCAGGATATATATCGTTTATATTCCACATGATTGAAGAGTTATTCGTAAAAGTTAGGTATACGATGGTAGAGTAGACAGAGATAAAAGTAATATATAAGCATGTATAAAAGTATTATTTCTTCAGCTCGTAGCGCTAAGTAGCAGCGAGATGAATATATGCATGCTGTATCAAGCGCGTGAACGAATCCTAAATTTGGTTCAAAATAGCTTGAATATTGTCCCGAACATATTCGAATTCTTTAAGAATGGTCATATATCAGTGCTCATTGAAAATATGCGCACTGAAGCGCAAAATTTATTAAGTATGTTTTCAATTAGAATTCTCGTTCTGACGATGTTAGAATCAGTTTTCTCATTGAAACGAAACAGGGAAATTACTCCTCATTCTATTAATTTCCTTTTTTTTTTCTCTCTCTCTCTCTCGTACCTTTTGTCATATTTATTCCTTAGCCCAAATCTTGAATGTAAAAATTGCTAACAAGAATGATTTTACGTAGCGAATTAGGAAAAAGAATAGTTCCTATTAAGATAGTCAAATTCATGTAGAATATTCACAATTTCATTTAATATTAATTTTAAACTAGGCCCCAACATAGAAACTTTATACATTTCCACACAAAACTCTTTGCACAAGCCGACACTTGGTAACTTTGATGGTCAATGCCGCTTGGCTGAGGCTCTGCTTGATGTACCAACAGCAGACGCTGTATGTTTAAAACTTATCTTTTACTTAAATTCGTTTACATAAGCGTAAAAATTGTTTTTTTTTTTTTTT